AGCATATATATATATATGTCGTACCTAGTAGCCAGAACGCACTTTTTGGCCTACTATGCAAGGCCCAATTTGCCTAATAAGCCAAGTTTTCCTGAATTAATATATTTTCTCTAATTTTTTTCTTATGAAATGATAAAGCTACCAATTTCATTATGTATGATGTCAATTTTTTTTTATTGGAGTTAAAATTAACGTAGATATATGACCGAACCTAACCAACCCTACCTAACCTAACCTAACCTATCTTTATAGGTTAGGTTCGGTTAGGTAGCCGAAAAAGTTAGGTTAGGTTAGGTTAGGTAGGTTAGGTAGTCGAAAAACAATTAATTCATGAAAACTTGGCTTATTAGGCAAATCGGGCTCTGCATAGTAGGCTGAGAAGTGCGTTCTGGCTACTAGGTACGACATATATATATATATATATATATATATATATATATATATATATATATATATATATATATATATATATATATATATATATATATATATATATATATATATATATATATATATATATATATATATATATATATATATATATATATATATATATATATATATATATATATATATATATATATATATATATATATATATATATATATATATATATATATATATATATATATATATATATATAATATATATATATATATATATATATATATATATATATAGATATATATATATATATATATATATATATATATATATATATATATATATATATATATATATATATATATATATATATATATATATATATATATATATATATATATATATATAATAATAAGCCAAGTTTTCATGAATTAAATGTTTTTCGGCTACCTAACCTACCTAACCTAACCTAACCTAACTTTTTCTGTTACCTAACCAAGTGTATATATATATATATATATATATATATATATATATATATATATATATATATATATATATATATATATATATATATATATATATATATATATATATATATATATATATATGACCTTCTGAAGATGTATTTAATATACGAAAGTACTAAAGGAAATTTCCTGTTTCAATTTTCCTCCGTGGTCTGACATTGTCACATTCTTAATCACGTGTTTATTTTCGTGATATACACACATAATGAGAACCACGTGCTCTTTTGCTTTGCTGTTCCCTCAGACTGCTTCCTTCGTGACCACCTTCGCTTCCCTACTAGTGAAAGCGCACTGTTCCCGCATCCGCCTCAAATTCCTGAAACAATGTCTTGGTGAGCAAGTTGTACCCAAGTCTCTGCTACCTGCCCGTCTGCTCAAATTAGGTGATGAACCGTTTAGTGATTTCTGTGCTACCATTTTGAAAAAACACATTGAAGTTACAAAATCAAAGGAACGTTCTGTTTTCAAAAGCCTGGATACAGCAAAAAGAAACTTTCATCACGCAATACCTTTGGACTGGAAAAATCTTCTGATGGATGAAATATATAGTGACTTACGCGGAAAAATTAATCAGTTACAGAAAATTCTTAAGCGCAAGTTAGAAAGTTTGATTAAAAATAGTGATTGGAACAAGAAATCTAATCCTAACAACGTGTTGAATCTGTCGTCCAAAACGATATGTGAAAATGTGGTTACTGCTTTGGGTTATGGTATGTCTTTTGCCATTTCAAATCAACCTTCTGCAGTTAAAATTGCTAGTTCATTGTTACAGCTTGAAAAACATAACTCTCTGTCTTCACAAAACCTAAACCTGGTTAAAGGTATTGTTTATGGTTCAATGTTGACGCCCCAAACAAACAATTTTCCCGAAAGATTCAGACGAAGCTTACAGGAGTTAAGAGCCGACTCTTCCATTCATATAACAAAGGCTGATAAATCCAGCACTATTGTTATTTTAAACAAGGAGGAATATATTTCGAAAATGAATGATCTCCTCCTAGATTCTTCAACGTACACTAAGCTTAGGAAAAATCCTCTTGAGGACATCATCAAGTTCTTCAATAGTAGCTTGAGGAAGTTGTTAAGTAAACATAAAGATCTTCTTAATCAATTTACTACTTCATCACCTTCATTACCATATCTATATGGTCTTGTCAAGACGCATAAGCCTAACAATCCCATGAGACCTATCATCAGTTCTGTGGGATCCATTTCTTACAAACTCTCCAAATGGCTTACCAAAATCTTGTCCCCTTTGTTAGGAACTATCTCCTCTTCTCATTTGACAAATTCTCTTGATTTAGTTAACAAATTGAATAGTGTTCCTGTCACTCCTGATGTAAAGTTAATCAGTTTTGACGTTTGTTCCTTGTTCACAAAGGTACCGGTCGATGATATTCTCGATTATCTTGCTCGTGAACTAATGAGCCATGACTTACCTCTTTCTGCTGATATTATTGTCAGTCTTGTTAAGTTGTGCATTAAAGAATGTAAATTTACCTTTAATAATGAGTATTATTTACAGACTTTTGGAATAGCAATGGGGAATCCTCTATCGCCATTGCTCTCAAACCTGTACATGGAATTCTTTGAAAAGAAATTTGTTTCAAAAATAACTCCTGGAATCATTCCTTGGTTTAGATATGTTGATGATATCTTGTGTATTTGGCCTTCAGATGTAAACACAGACGAATTTGTAGCCAAACTTAATGACCAAGTCACCTCCATAAAATTTACTATGGAGACTGAAATTGATAAATGTTTGCCATTCCTAGATGTGCTTATTCATAGGGAAAACTCTTCATTAAAGTTTAGTGTTTACAGAAAACCTACGAACAATTTATCTTATGTTCATTATTTTTCAGGGCATAAATACAATGTAAAAAAGTCAATTTTTTCTTCAATGTATCTAAGAGCTCTTCGAGTTGTGAGTCCAGAATTCTTAGATGAAGAATTTAAGAATATTGATTCGATTGGTCTTAAGCCTTGTTACCCACTGAATTTTTTGGAAGTTTGTCGTAACAAAGCTCGTCGTACATATTATAATAATGTATGCAGTGAAAGGACTCGCCCAAAGAATGTGTTATGTTTACCATATTTCTCTGGGTTTGAGAATATTGTCAAGGCCTTGAAACTTTTTAATATAGATGTAATGTTTAGCTACGAAAACACTGTTGGTAAGCTATTAGTAAGGAACAGCCCTCGTAGTGATAATTGCGTCATTTATAAAATACCTTGTAAGGAATGTAATAAGTTCTATGTCGGGCAAACATCTAAAGATTTAAAATGTAGAATATCGCAACATAAATACTCTGTAAGACATGGCCAATTATCTAATGCTTTGTTTGTGCATTTGTCAGAAAACGCTCACCAAATTGATTGGGAGAGTGCGTCTTCAATAACAAATTGTAAAAGCACCTATAACAGAAACATAATTGAATCCGCTTTGATACAGATCACCAAAGAAAGTAATTTGAATATTAGCAGTGGTCTATATAACTTAGATCCATTTCTAATAGATCAGCTAAAGGGCGATTTAAGTAGAATCATTGAAAAACATTTGTCTCACTAATTTATTGTATATATTTACCTCTTTATGTTATAATTACCTATGTATTATGCTTGTATGTCTGCTGTATCAGATGGGCCATTGGGCTACATCGGATGGGCTAATTGGGTGCATCTGATGGGCCAATGGGCCTTCTGCGTTGTCCAAGTATTGTACCTCACCTTACTTCACCACTCTCTCCTGCCTATTTATACCCATCACTCGATCTGTAAAATGACCTTCTGAAGATGTATTTAATATACGAAAGTACTTAAGGAAATTTCCTGTTTCAATTTTCCTCCGTGGTCTGACATTGTCATATATATATATATATATATATATATATATATATATATATATATATATATATATATATATATATATATATATATATATATATATATATATATATATATATATATATATATATATCTTGAGGTTATCTTGAGATGATTTCGGGGCTTTAATGTCCCCGCGGCCCGGTCCTCGACCAGGCCTCCACCCCCAGGAAGCAGCCCGTGACAGCTGGCTAACACCCAGGTACCTATTTTACTGCTAGGTAACAGGGGCATAAGGTGAAAGAAACTCACCTTAACCTAACCTAACCAACCCTACCTAACCTAACCTAACCTATCTTTATAGGTTAGGTTAGGTTAGGTAGCCGAAAACGTTAGGTTAGGTTAGGTTAGGTAGGTTAGGTAGTCGAAAAACAATTAATTCATGAAAACATGGCTTATTAGGCAAATCGGGCCTAGCATAGTAGGCTGAGAAGTGCGTTCTGGCTACTAGGTACGACATATATATATATATATATATATATATATATATATATATATATATATATATATATATATATATATATATATATATATATATATATATATATATATATATATATATATATTCATTTATATAACATAACAAATCCAATTGAATTTTTTTACGTTCTTGTATCTCTTGAGGAGGCCGACTTCGCGCTAGGCCCAATAGGTGTGTCTCCTGCCTCGGCCAAGGTGGTGGACTTCATGTGGCCAATAACTATACAGTACTCTAAGATCCTGGGCACTCGAGGTCGACCAGAGGTGGACCCATGGGGCTTCCTCTTCCCTCTGGAACCTCTTGTGTGGGCAGCCACCATGGCGACGCTACTGGTGCTGTCTCTCTCGTTGGTCCTCGCCTCCTCCTTCTTATCCATTAATAACATAACAGATAAAAACTTGGAAATTGATTCCTTCCGTTTGATTAGTGCTTTGTTACAACAAGGTTGGTACAGCATTTCTGCTTTTATTGTATTTTGTTAGTAGTTATACATGAATGAGTTATGTATTTTATCGTTTGTGTTATCAATTCTGTATTTATAAAATTAACTATTCAATATAAAATGTAGTTACTTCAAAACTACTTGTTGTAAAAATTGCTAGCAGGAAAATAAAAGCGAGTTGTTTCACTTTGTACATGACAAATGTGAACTAGAATGTTGGTTGAACGAGTGACCTCTTGCTACTTACCCTACTCCAGACTGCTTGGTATCGGGCCGGTGGTGGTGGAGGCGACTGGTGTTTCTGCTTTGGATGATGATGGTAGCACAGGTACTGGTCAAGAGCTACTCCGGTAACCTTATGTCAGGTCTGGCCGTGAGACACATCAAACAGCCATACCAGACTCTCCGCCACCTGCTGGACGACTCCTCTGCCATCATGATATGGCTCAGCAACTCACCAAATGTGGAGTTTTTCCGTGTATGTTCATCTGTAATATCTCACTTGTTTGTGTCTTCATGCGACATTTGCAAAACAGCTTCTATGTTATTTAATGCTAATGTTCCAGATAATTGTCACTATATTATGTTTCTTTTCCACTTGACAGCTGTCGTTTGAAAATGGCAACCAAGCCTTGTTTCCTCCTGAAGCCTGTGATCATTAAAAAAAAATAAACGTTTTTGAAATCGTATTTTGAACTTGGAATGATATTGTTCAAACTCAACGTACTAAGTGGGCAATTCTTGCATTGTAGTGGTTAATCTTATTTTTATCAGAATGTTGCGCTAATTGTTCTAACTATAAACTAACATTCTTGGCAACTGCTGTATAAAATTAACACGGACTACTTTTTTCATTCACTAAGATGTGTTTCTTTAACCAGTTTTCGATTATTATCAACTGGAACTTGGCATTACAAAAAAAGAAAAATGTCATTGGTATGTATGTGTCACATTTCGATGAGTTGTTTGCAATAGCCACAAAGTAGCCCAGAACAAAATGACTTGATGATTGGGTAAGCACTGTTGAATTTTGCCCGATTTAAATTTAAATTAAACCATAAACGTTTTTTTAATTTGGTTAACCAATATTCTACATTTCTTCAACATGTGACAAAATTACAGATGCACAAACAGTTTCAAGTCAAACTTGATTCGTTTTTCATAAAAGATCGATAAGAAATGTATATTAGTCCTATTAAATTTGTTTCGTAATATTTGGTCATCCAAATCTTTACATAGTTTCGCTCTCAGTCGATGTATACGTATAAAAATTTCAGAACATAATTAGTAAGCATTGGCAATAATCGCGATAGTGTACTTGGATTTGTGTTTATATTCTTTGATTGTATTAAATTACCATATAAATTGTATATATTGATAGTATCATGTAGGATATATAAAACTACAAATCAATAAATTTTTTTGCAGGGATATTCCTGCACGGACCCCATGCCTCTGACTGGCCCACTAAAAGTTAAAATAAAAAAGTGAATATTTTCACATCATTGATTATAAAAGAACGCTTATAATTAAGATCTTAAACGTTCCCATTGGGGAAAATTTGTACCATATAATTACAAATATATTTATAGTTTTAATATATAAACTAAACTAATTCTTTAAATGGTAATTCTTAGTGAATCAGTTAGAAATTGGAACTTGCAAGTGTCTCATTTTATGGGATTGTTTGAATGTCTGACTCTGCATACGGAAGGAAACATTGCAAATTAACAAACTTTTATAACTAGATGCACATAATTTACCTCCAGTCAAAATAAAACTTATCTCTCTGTGTCTGACTGCCTCTGATGACCAAATCATATATCAGAAAATGGAGAAACGACGATGTTTCGGTCCGTTCTAAACCATTAGCAAGACGTGTGTGAGGAATTCATAATGGTCCAGGACGGACCTAAACGACGACGTTTCTCTATCGTCTGCCTCTGACTGCCTCTCTTTCTCTCTCTTAAAGGAAAGGATTCTTTGTGCTTTTCCAGACTGTCCAATTTGGGATATACCACGAGGTGTCCGAGGCTGGCTCCAGGGGACGCATGGAGTACAGCAACACCTACGAATTCCTGCACAACGCTGCAGCTCTGCTGAGTGACGGGCACCACGCTCTCGTCGGGAATGAGATCCTCGTCGACATGATCATCAGCAAAGAGTTTTCTCACACAGGTATTCCAGTGTTGTTCTCATGCCGAACGGCAATGGAAAAATTAATTAGCTGTAGTAGGCTAGATTATCATTAACTATTGAAAATATGCATTTACAGTCACACATCTGTTGCAAACGCAGTCATTAATAACAGAATATAACCGATTACCTTAAACACATGAAATCTTGTGTAAATTCATGTTAAAGAAATTGTTTAATGTCAGTAAAAGCTGCATCATTTGGCTATGGGAATGGTTTTCAAACCTAGACGATGTGTAAGATGCATAAATCAGGTATGATATGCGTTCTTTCTAAAATATTAAAATCTTCACTAATGAATGAATAATTGTTGTGGAAATACTCCATATGTTAAGTATAAACGCTGCTCCATCATATAGGTATAATCATCAGTACATAAGGAATAAGTACAGCAATGGGTGTCCCCCGCATCTCGATGTCTATACACTGAGTTTTTCTTTAGTTCTCAGTTATGTTCAGGACTGCTGCATACTTACTGATTGGTTAGTAAACTACAGTAGTTGCGTTAATATACCTCCTACGATTAATAAGTCTTAACCTGAACACAAAAGCATTCATTTATGATATTCTAACAACTCTAATTATGCTTAATAATTATTCATAGTTACATGTTGAATTATTTTCATGGTTATTGGTCGCCCACAGAAGATGGTGACTATATTTAAGATGAAGTAGATATAGGGATGATACTTGATATGATTTTACATGTGTATTCAGCGAGGAACATTTAAATAACGTATTTTTACTTTAACCATTCCTCAGTAAAAACAAAAATAACTTTATTTCAACAAAATTCCGATCAGGCTGTGCTTACAATGTTGAATAAAACAATGAAGGAAACTGAATATCATTGAAATATTTTATTTAGAAATACTTCGAGTGTGATGTTTAGCAAAGTGGTTGGAATGTCGAGATATATGATGTTGCAAATAATGGAAGCATGTTAATGTCACACTGTTATAATTTAGCCTGCTATTTGCATGTTATTTTAGTCACCCCACTTTACCTATTCCCAACTTCAATCTCCCACTTAAGAATAAACACAAAAAAGCATTTATGACCTGAGAATTCATGGATATTGGGTGTGGGTTAAAAACCAGATGTAAATAACATAATTTGTAATCAGTAGATAGGTGCAAAACTACAGGAAAAATGCGAAGTTATAAAAATATGTAGATGCCAACTATAAGATGATTCCACTATAGGAACTATAGGACCAACGGCTAGTGTGGTTGGCGATTTATTTGACAAGGGCGTGGATCACTAATTTCTGTGTTCTTTAGAGGAACGCAGGGAAAGTATACAATCTCAGTTAGGCAGCGGATTCCTGCTACTGAGATCTTTCCTATTAGGCCTCTAGATCGTCCTCCCCACCCATTCCACCTTCCCTCACCTCTCCACACTTTCCTCCTCCCCTTGTCCTTACCCCCACCCCCCTCTCCTCTGGTCTTCTCAGAAGTTCTCTAACCCCCTCTCATTATCCTCACAACCCTTTCCCGTCGTCCTTCCTTACACCCCCTCCCTTCCATAACTTCCTCATGTTCCCTTTTATAAAATATGACTGGGGGGGGGGGGGGCGGTGTAATATGGAGGTGCATGGGAGCCCTCTCCCTCCTCATGTCCATCCCAATCCCCCACTTCACCTTCTCCCCTCCCCTCGTCCTTCCCACTCCCTTCGCCCACCGACCTTTCTCCCTTACCCCCTCAACATTCTCTCCTGCCCCTGAACATCAGCTTCTCCAATTTATGTATTTAAAGATTACTTTTCTCTGATGACGAGAAGGTTCTTCAGTCATTTAAACAGGTAATTTCCATTTGACCTAAATTGAATCTTTGAGAATCGGGTGGATGGCAAGGGGGGGCGGAGGGGAATTCCCACATCAAATATAATATTGTAATGTAACAGCCATGAAATGCTGTTAATTTCCATGAGTTCAAGTAACTAATAAATACATTAGTTAGCCATATTTTTTACCGCAAACGGGATTAATATACCCTGGGACCACTACAACTCATTACCAAATGTTTCTGGCTAATTTAATATAAAATCCACCGGTCTCAGAGCTGGTAACCCAATAAAATTAACCATCTCAATTAATTATACACTCAATACCGCTGTGAGATTACGCAAAACCCTCTTTACCCTTCTCGATAAATTTTGCACCTCAAGTTGACGCCTGAGGAGGGAGGAAGGCAGCATTGAGTGAGGTTGTGGTGAAAATTGACCAGAATGGGCCTCCCACAGCCCAGAAACTCTACCAGCAAGTCTCAGAATGCAAAGTGATTGACTATAGCCACTAATTGTTGGCAAGATTTGAAGCAAGGAAAGTGCAGCTTTCTGTTTATTCTATTACACGTAACGTTTTGCCATTAATTAGTTTATGAATTTATTGTTATGCTGTAGGGAAACACCATTCACAAGGGTAAGCTGTAATACATTATTTATATCCTAATTTCATGTGTAACGCCTGTTTTCTACATGTTATTGTCAGTTTTTACGATGTAACTTGTTGGAAGGTAAATTGTGACTGCATGAGACCAAATTGTCCTCTTACAAATTACGTCTGAATATGGCCGTTTGCCCGAATAGCCGAAAATGGACGTAATTTGAAAATGAAACAAATTAAAAAAAAAAATTGGAGTTTTTTTTTGCAGTAAGTTAAGGATTCTCTGGCAGATTAGGAGGGCAGGAAATTATCCTAAAGTTTCAAAATGTCATGAAAACCGATAATGGAAAGTATCCTCTCCAAACCTTACCGAATAAGGCAGAGGAAGATTCCTGATCTCCACTGCTGTCCCAGAAAACGGGAGAGTACATCACTTTCTTATGCTGATTTCATTTCAAATTACGTCCATTTGTGGCCATAGCGTGCATACGAGCGAAAAGCGACGTTAATTTTAAGAGGACGGGTTGATGAGACCACATTTGAGCTGGTACATACCAGGACCACAAGATAGCCAATAATACCTGTTCAGTATAAAGTACACATGTCCAGGAAATCTGATGTTGGATGGATAATCAACACTACCAAAACAGCTGAGACTTTATAATTTATAACTAACCCATATCAGTGTAATTTATCCCATTAGTAATTAAATATATCATTTAATTACGGTATGATTAAAATATGAAACCACTCTAAAATGTGTGATGGGAAGTTTACTGGTGATAATAAGTTATAAAAATATAATCAGCTCGCAATTAATAAATACAATTAAATACAATCTCTTGAATTAATAATCAAATCAATCATGGTAGATTCCCCACAGAGGGTTTGTGAATAATTAATAATATTTCGTAAATCATTTAACGTAAGCCTACGTAAGCCTATGCCAGTCCCATATCCCAGATAATTTTCCCTACAAATTTGGGTGTGGCCAGCTCAAACTTTGAACTGCCATGTAGAGATGCAGACAAACAGACATTCTTTCATATAGTATTAATATAATAATAACAATTAGATTAAAATAAATTAATTGCAATAGTGTAAACCTGTTGAGATCTGACCATTGAGATTTGTACAGGATCTTGTGACTACTACTCGTCCAGGGAGAGGTTGCTGCCAAACATCATGGCTTCTGTAGGACAGAAGAAGAGTCCTCTTGTTCCTGCCTTAAGCAAGAGGTATTAATGAATATGTTTTCACTCATAAGCTTCTTCACATTTTATATATCGAAAATAATTCCTGATTTTCACTGTGGTTATTCTCTAAAGCAGTAATTCTGTCATTTTTTACAACAAAATATAATTATATTTTGATTTTCATTCAGAAGGAATGAAAATCATTCCTTCTGAAGATACATTAATATACGAAAGTACTTAAGGAAATTCCTGTTTCAATTCTTCCTCCATGGTTTGACACTGTCACATTTTTCATCACGTGTTAACTTTCGTGATTTACACAAACACACAGACACACACACATACACACACACACACACACACACACACACCTCGGGGCCTCGTAGCCTGGTGGATAGCGCGCAGGACTCGCAATTCTGTGGCGCGGGTTCGATTCCCGCACGAGGCAGAAACAAATGGGCAAAGTTTCTTTCACCCTAAGTGCCCCTGTTACCTAGCAGTAAATAGGTACCTGGGAGTTAGTCAGCTGTCACGGGCTGCTTCCTGGGGTGTGTGTGGTGTGGGAAAAAAAAAAAAGTAGTTAGTAAGTTAGTAGTTAGTAATCAGTTGATTGACAGTTGAGAGGCGGGCCGAAAGAGCAAAGCTCAACCCCCGCAAAAACACAACTAGTAAACACACACACACACACACACACACAAACACACACACTCAGGAATCAGGAATCTGTACACCAGTTGATTGACAGTTGAGAGGCGGGACCAAAGAGCCAAAGCTCAACCCCCGCAAGCACAATTAGGTGAGTACAATTAGGTGAGTACACACACACACACACACACACAAACGAACTCGGACGAATTCGGGCTTGCAAACGCAGGAGGACAATCGCAGCTGGAACAAACACAGAGGATGGGGGGGAACAGGAAGAGCCCTGAAGCTAGGTCTGCAGTTAAGGAAGTTGCCATGGAAGTGGCTTCTTCTCAGGAAGCAGCTAGATGAACTAGCCGGCTGATAGAGAGAAGAGCTGTAGTAGTAGCAGGCATTAAAGAGCAAACAGAGACCAGCCCAAAGGAGCGGAGAGACAAGGACAAAAACGCAGTTACCGAGATCCTTAAAGAGGTAAGGATGGAGGGAACTGACCAAAATGTTGAAAAGGTTTTCAGGCTTGGAAAGTTCAACAAGGACAGGGACCGAATGATAAAGGTGGTATTCATGAGCGAAATCACGAAAGAGGAACTGTTAGCAAGGAAGTGCTGTCTAGCAGGTGTAGAGAAGTTCAAAAAAGTATTCCTGCAGAGGGATATGACAAGGGAAGAGAGAATACGGACAGCAGACGCAAGGAAGGAGCGCAGGGAGAGAGAAAGAAATCAGAGTACCACAACCCAGAACCCTACAATCCCAGAGGGAAGTGGAGAACCCTCCTCAAACAGTGCAACAGCCACAGGGATTGGGGCACCGCCCCCACATTCTACCCAACAGACACCCAACCTGCCCCATCCCCTGTCAGCCCCCCACTAAGTACCCACCTAGGGCACCCTCCCCCCACCCACCCCCCTCCTCCCACTCACCCCCCTTCTCCCACTCCCCAGGACCTCCCTTCTCCCCCATCCCCCAAGCCCTCCCTTCTCCCACATGCCTTCCCGTCTTTCCCACCCCCAAGCCCTCTCTTCCCCCCCTCCCCCCCTAAGCCCCCCACTCTCCCCCACCCCACCTAAGTCTTCCCCTCTCCCCCCACTCCCCTGAACCCTCCCCTCTTCCTCACCCACCTCAGCCCTCCCTTTTCCCCCAAGCCCTCCACCCTTTTCTTGCCCCCCAAGCCCCCCACCATCTCCCCTCTTCCCCAAAGCCTCTCCTCCCCCCATGCTTCCCCAACCCTTCCTCTCTCACCCCCACCAACCCTCCCCCTCTCACTCTCCCCCCAACCCTCTCCCTCTCCCCCCCTACCCTCCCCCTCTTACCCACCCCCTGTACCCTCCCCCTCTTACCCACCTCCTGTACCCTCCCCCTCTTACCCACCCCCTGTACGCTCCCCCTCTCCCCCACCACCCCAAGCCCTCCCTCCTCCACCAATCTCCCCGTACCAGGTCCCCCCAGCTCCCACTCACCCCAGATCCCAAAGGTCCTCCCCAGAGAAGAAGCAGAAGAGAGTCAGTTTCAGGGTGATGTACTCGAACATAGATGGGATCACAAGCAAGACAAGTGAACTAAGGGAAAGAGCACACGAAGTTAACCCAGATGTAATCGGACTCACTGAAACAAAACTCTCTGAAATCATAACGAATGCTGTGTTTCCCCAGGAGTACACAGTAATAAGGAAAGAGAGGGAAGGTAGGGGAGGAGGCGGAGTGGCCCTACTCATGAGAAAGGAATGGAGTTTTAAGGAGATGGCCATCCCGGGCTGTGAGGAGTTCAGAGCTACATAGCAGGCACCATAACAATGGGAGGACCACGAATAGTAGTAGCAGTAATATACAACCCTCCACCAAATGACAGAAGGCCCAGTCAAAAGTATGAAAACAACACCATGGCAGTTAACACTATAATTGAGAGGGGAGCCTCTGCTGCCTGTAGAAATAGATCCCACCTGCTCATCATGGGCGACTTCAATCACGGAAAGATTGACTGGGAGAACAAGGAACCGCATGGAGGCGAGGATACGTGGAGAGCCAAACTATTGGAGGTGGTGACAAGCAACTTTTTAACCCAGCATGTCGGAGAACCCACAAGGATGAGAGGCAATGACGAACCAGCGAGACTCGACCTAGTCTTCACTCTGAACGACTCCGACATAAGAGAAATCGGTTTGAGGACCCAGTAGGAATGAGCGACCACAGTGTACTGGTCTTTGAGTACTTGATTGAAGAAGGGTTATTGAACTCGAGGAGGGATACCGCAACCAAAAGGTTAGCATACCGAAAGGGAAACTATGAGGGGATAAGAAAATTCCTAACAGATATAGCAAGGGAAACAGAGCTCAGGGGAAAGACGGCCCAAGATATGATGGATTACATCACGCAGAAGTGCAGGGCCGCAGCAAACAAGTTTGTCCCAGTCCAAAAGGAAAACAGAGAAATGAAAATGAGAAACCCATGGTTTAATCAGAGATGTAGGCTAGCTAAGCAGCAAAGTAAAAGGGCATGGAGAAACTATAGGAATAACAGGACTCTGGAGAGCCGAGAAAGATACCAGAATGCCAGGAATGAATATGTCAGGATGAGAAGAGAGGCAGAAGGACAATACGAAAATGACATCGCAAGCAAGGCAAAGACTCAGCCTAAATTGTTGCATAGCCACATTAGGAGAAAAACAACAGTAAAGGAACAGGTTGTGAAATTAAGGATAGGGGCGGAAGGATTCACTACAAATGACAAGGAAAAGTGTGAGGAATTGAATAAGAAATTCCAGGAGGTCTTCACCTTAGAGCAAGGAGAAATTCCAGAGGTAAGTGAGGGAATAGCTAACCAGGAACCACTGGAAGAGTTTGAGATTACCAGTGGGGAAGTAAGGAAGTGTTTACTAGAGTTGGATGTGACGAAGGCTATAGGCCCAGATGGATTCTTCCCTTGGGTTCTAAAGGAAGGAGCAAGAGAACTGTGCCTACCACTCTCCATAGTGTATAACAAATCACTGGCAACAGGGGAACTGCCAGATATTTGGAAAGCAGCTAACGTAGTCCCGATATACAAGAAAGGAGATAGACAGGAGGCACTGAACTACAAGCCAGTGTCCCTAACCTGCATACCATGCAAGCTGATGGGGAAGATTGTGCGAAAAAAACTAGTGGAGCATCTGGAACGAAGGAACTTTGTAACACATCATCAACATGGGTTCAGGGATGGCAGGTCCTGCCTCACAGGGTTACTTGAATTCTACGACCAGGCAACAAAAATAAGGCAAGAAAGAGAAGGGTGGGCAGACTGCATATTTTTGGATTGTCAGAAAGCCTTTGATACAGTGCCACACAAGAGGCTAGTGCGAAAGTTGGAGATACAGGCTGGAGTGAAAGGGAAGGTACTCCGGTGGATAGAGGAGTACCTAAGCAACAGGAGACAACGAGTCTGTGTGAGGGGTGAGGTCTCAAATTGGCGAGACGTCACAAGTGGAGTCTCGCAGGGGTCAGTCCTTGGACCTATACTGTTTGTGGTATATGTAAATGATCTCCCAGAGGGTATAGATTCGTTCCTCTCAATGTTTGCCGACGATGCAAAAATTATGAGGAGAATTGAAACAGAGGATGATAGTAGGAGGCTACAAGATGACCTAGATAGACTGAGTGAATGGTCCAACAAATGGCTGTTGAAGTTCAACCCGAGTAAATGCAAAGTAATGAAACTAGGCAGTGGAAACAGGAGGCCAGACACAGGATACAGAATGTGGGAGCCGGTCGGCCGAGCGGACAGCACGCGGGAGTTGTGATACTGTGGTCCTGGGTTCGATCCCAGGCACCGGCGAGAAACAATGGGCAGAATTTCTTTCACCCTATGCCTCTGTTACCTAGCAGTAAATAGGTACCTGGGTGTCAGTCAGCTGTCACGGGCTGCTTCCTGGGGGTGGAGGCCTGGTCGAGGACCGGGCCGCGGGTACACTAAAAAGCCCCGAAATCATCTCAAGATAACCTCAAGATAGGAGATGAAGTACTTAATGAAACAGACAGAGAGAAAGATCTAGGAGTTCATATCACACCAAACCTGTCTCCTGAAGCCCACATAAAGAGAATAACGTCTGCGGCACATGCGAGGCTGGCTAACATCAGAACGGCGTTCAGGAACCTGTGTAAGGAATCATTCAGAATCTTGTACACCACATATGTAAGACCAATCCTGGAGTATGCGGCCCCAGCATGGAGCACGTACCTTGTCAAGCACAAGACGAAGCTGGAAAAAGTACAAAGGTATGCTACTAGACTAGTCCCAGAACTAAGATGCATGAGTTATGAGGAAAGGCTGCGGGAAATGCACCTTACGACACTGGAAGACAGAAGAGTAAGGAGGGACATGATCACAACCTACAAAATCCTCAGGGGAATCGACCGGGTAAACAAGGAT